ATAAAAACCATCCATTTAGCCAGGAGCCGGTGGCTCATGCCTGTAATCCTAGCTACTGAGGAGGCTGAGATCTGAGGATCACGGTTCAAAGCTAGCCCGGGCAGGAAAGTCTGTGAAACTCTTATCTTCAATAAACCACCAGAAACCCGGAAGTGGCGCTGTAGCTCAAGTGGTAGAGTATTTGCCTTGCACTGAAGAGTGCAGGGACAGCGCCCAAGCCCAGAGTTCAAGCCCCACGACCAACCAAAAAAATAAAAGAAAGAAAAGAAAAAAAAATCTAGTCTTCTTTCTTATGAAATACCTACAGATAAGGTTTTCTTTCTGTAATTTTCAAACTAAAATCTTTTTTTGTTGTTGTTGTTTTCCAATACTGGGAATAGAACGCCAGAGCCTTGTGACTACTGAGTGAAATTAAAATCTTTCAAAACTGCTTTGGGAAAGAATGTGGCCCAATGGTTCATTTTGTGTGAGAACTTGTGATCTCTTTTCTAACAGGCTCATCAAATGACAACTGGACTCTAGAATTACACAGTTGCAACAGAAGGTAATGAATCCCAAACTCAGTGCAATCACAGCCTCTTTTGATTCAGTTCTCTCACAAACCATATCCTTTAAAGAAATTGAATACAAAGGTTCGTCTCAAATATCTCAGAGCATAACTACCTTTCTCTAGGAATGGATCCAAATAAGTGTGAAGAAATGAATTCAAGTGAATATGGAGAAGTGTCAGTTTGACGTATTCATACACTGGATAGTACACTTACACAGAGCTTGTGCAAGAAAGCGAGGAGGAGGGAAAAAAAGAAATGAAGATGAAAGAAAAGAACAAAAACTATTCATGTATTCAAACTATGTAGCAATTAAATTCTGGTTAGACCTTTTTATCCTAAAAGGAAAAAAAAAAAGTGAGTCCACTACAGCAATTCCTAAAGAAGTGACCACACTGACACTAGTTAGCAGAAAACCATAAATACTCACTACTGAAATTGATGGTTGACTTTAAAATTCAATTACACCCATCTTATAAAAGAAGCATGGCTTTATTATAGTCACTCCTTGGCAGCTGTCATAAATTATAACATTGGCTTGAAAGCCAATGGGTTTCACTAGACCTTTATAATGTAGCAATCTCAAGTCAGCTGTATTTGGGTGGTGGTGACAAAGTCAGCTGATCTCTCCATGTGGGCAGATTAAACATTAGCATTCCTGCTTCTGTTATTCAGAATGATTATTGTTAATAAGCATTAATTGGTTATCACATCCTTTCAAACACTGTCCTCATTTCTACAGCTAAATCCTTAGTGGTTTCCTATGGCTGAACAATGGCATTGTACATTTCACCACATTAACCAAAAACACTTTGGGGTCACACTAAGAAAACAAAATAAAATCAGTATATTCATTTTAAAAACTATCTGAGACTAGTTAAAGGAAATTAATATACTAAAATTTATTGGTATGTCCTACAAAAATAAACCACTCAGCTTTTATCACCTCGTGAAGTGCCAAAGGCTAAAAAAGAAGATATACTGGATAAACAAATTGGAAAGACTATGTCTCCAGTATTGATTTTCACTACATAATAGTGCATCAGATATTTTAGGCATTTTATATAAGTTACTCTTCACAATAACTGTATTAATACTCACAAGTGAGAACTCAGGAGTTTAATGAATTACTACTGATTATCCAAGATATACAGTCTAACAGCCTAACTCTTAAACCCATCTTGGTTTCATTCTGGTTATAGTAGAAATTAGTGGCCACTAGTTTGTCTTCCTCTTGCCTACTACATATACGATCAGTTAGTTTCAGTATAATAAAATCCCCAATTAAAAGAACATACCACACAAGACGTCCTATGTACTATGCCATTAAATGCCAACAGTAAAACTAAGTTATCCATGAAAAACGAAAGCTCAGAGGTTGAGGGACCTGTCCAAGGTCACTCAGTTCCATAGAGCAGCAGCAAGAACCAGGATCATCTGACACAACCCATATTCCTAACTCATGCAACACATAAATCCATAGAAAAGCCTCAAGTCAATAGCTTGGACTAGTCAACTAGCCTCAAGGCAATTAGGCCCTCAAAAGTCCCTAAATCTCAAAATGCAATCTCTATTTTGATTTGGGGGGGGGGGGGATATCAAGAAAATAAATGGCTAAGAAAATTTGGTGGGTTTTTTTTTCTGTGATGCTATTTCTAATAATTATATTAGGCCTGGTACACATAGAGTAATCACTTGAAACTTCAATACCTCTTTTACAGTATTCCACCATAAGATTTGCTATTCTGAACCATACTTCTTCAAGAAGAAATAATCAATTATATTCACAGCACTGTACTGTTTCCTAGAGGGAGGATATAAAAATCCACTAGATCTTAGATTTTTTTTTAACAAGAGTTAGACTAAAAAGGAGTTTCACATCACTAAATCTGAGTAAGCTAGAAAATCCAATTAACTATAATACCCAGCTTGCCAGCACTGCAGATAATCCAAATTTTACTGATTGTCGATCAAAACCTTGAAATTATTTAAACATAAGGAATTTTGATATGAATGTCCTTGGTTTCTTACTGAGACCCAACTGTAATGAATTATTTAGCACAAAACTGGAGGGACTCCAGCAGAGTCATTAGCATTAGTAAATAAACAGTTAATGTGTTTTAGAACAGAGCTTAATGGACTCCAGGACCGGCCTGCGTGATGGTTTGGGTGGGGGGCTAAAACATCCTTGTTAATAATGCACGGGACTCCTCACCTCACACTCTTCTCGGTTTCAAACTTCATCCCTAGGTCTGAAGAATGAAACTACAAACCCATCTATGCAATAAGTAAAATCAGCACTCCATACTGGTTTCTTAACAGACTTGGAGTCAGCTTGGGAAAGATGACACTTGAATGCACTAACACAAATGTTTAAATCAAAACCAGTAACAACAACAACAAAAAAAAAAAGGTGACTAGGTTCTGTTCCCTGTATTCTGTCACTTGATGAAAGTTTGCTTTTCCAATGAATGGGTGACACTTATTGGCACTCCAGGGTTTTATTTCCAGGGATTAGCACCAGTATGATTAATCTCCATTAACACCTTCATTAACATGGATGGCGAGTAAAACAAAGGCCAGGGGGTTTCCTGGGCGCGCTGGGGGGTGGTTTTCTGTGCCCGCGGGTTTCTCTGGCTCGGGGCAGTTATCAGTGAAAGTTGTGACAGTTGGGGAGGCGGCTCCATCTTCAGGGTAAAAGGCGTTCTCCGTGGCTCAGCCTCAGCACGGACCCAGCCTCTTCCCCACGGCACTGCGATCACCCGGCTACAGCTCGGGTCCTGGACTTTTTTTTTCCCCCCTCGAAGAATCCTAAACACTCTTTGGCTCGGCTTTTGTTGGTTAAAGACAATGGCCCCCGAACTCGAGCGAAGGGAACAAGTTCGGGAGCCTCCATGTCCAGACAAACTTCGCTCCAACAGCTGGACGCTGGGGGACACTTTGAGGACGGAATTACCAAACCTCGATTTCTAGGACTCGAGGTACGGAACAAAAGGTCCCCAGGTATTCGTCCCACTTCCCTTCAGGCTGACTCTATTAAACAATACCGGGGCGCACTCGTCCACCTTTCGCTTATTCCCAACGCTAAATTGTCCCCCGAGTCCATCATTAACAAAGCCTAAAGCGTTCAGAGCAGGGCAGCCTGGCAGCCTGGGACGGCCCGGTGGAGGTAGGGGCCGGTGTCCCCTCGTCCGTCCCCCGCGGGCGGGAAGACACCGCAGCGCGAGCGGCAGGAAGGAGACACCCAACTTGAAGGCTTGAGATGGTCCGCCAAGGCACCCCGGATCCGGGGAAAGCGGGGAGGGGGTGTCTCTCCTTTTCGTCCTGGCCCTCCCGCGGGTCCCCAGCACGGTTGCCTGCATCCCTGCCTCCCTCCCTCCCCACCCCCGGCCCCCGGTCCGCCGCTCACCCCGGGAGTGGCCGCGGCGGGGCCAGTCCCGGGAGCGGGACGCGGGGCGCGGGGCCGAGGGGCCGAGGGGCGGGCGCGGCGGGGTCCGCCCGCCCGGCTGGACGCCGGGGACAGCTCGCCACTCACCAATGCGGCTGAAACTCTCCGACAAAGTTCTCCGCAACTTCTTCATCTTGCCGATCTTCTCGGCCGGCTGCGGTTCAATGAGGTCGCACATCTGGGCGACGCGGGGGCCACCCCGCCGGGCAACTTCCCCAAAACTGGTCCACGGAGCGGAGCGCAGACAACGGCGAGGGCGCGCGGCGCGGGGAAGGCGGCGCCTCCGCCGCCGCCGCCGCCGCCGCCGCCGCCTCCTCCTCCGCCTCCTCCCGCAGCCGGGCGGCGACGCGCAGGCGAGCGGCCGGCTTGCAGGCAGCGCTCGGGCCTGGGCCGCGGGGACAGGCGCGCGGGCGAGCGGACGAGGGCGATTTACGTGGTGCCGGGAGCGGCTGCGCTCGCCGCGGCCGCGATGACCCCGCTCCGCGCCTCCGCCGCCGTCGCCGCCGCCGCCCGGCTCATTTTCCCTCCTTTGTAACCGGGAGAAGCGCGGCCGGCGGCCGGCAGGGGGGGAGCGCGGCTCGCGGAGGAGGCGGGGGCGGGGGCGGGCGAGGGACGGGGGGCGCGGGACGCGGGGCGGGGACGAAGAGGGGGGGGACCAGGTGCGGGAGCCGCGGGGACCGGGCGCGCGAGGGGCGCGGGCGCGCGGGAAGAAGTTCTCCGCGCCGAGTTGCGGGCGCTCGGCAGAACCAGCCGCGGGCCCGCACGGCCGCCCGCACCGTCCCGGCCGCCTCCGCCGTGGTCCGGCCTCTTTCTCGGCGAAGGCCCCACGGGGCGGTGCGACCCCCCGGCTCTGCGCTCCGAGTCCGCGGCGGCTCTCCAGGGCCCGCCAGCGCCCCCTCCCGGCCGCCCCGCGCCCCTTCCCGCACTCCCGCCCCGCCCGCGCGGGGACCGTGGACCAGAGGCCGCCCCCCTGGACTGAGCTCGGGTGGTGCGCACTGAGCCAGTTACCGAAAGGCGGAGGGCCGACGGGGCCTGGTGTCGGAGCGTTTCTCCGTGGCACCAGCGTGTGCTCGCACCGGGCGCGGAGTTGGAGGGGGTCGCCCCGGATAAAGGACAAGAAGGCCGCGGGGACGCACTAGAGTTTGGTGGAGACTTTTTTTCTGCGCCCCCCCCCCCCCCACTCCGTAAGTTTGCAGACGCAGCTATGAAGTGAGAGATGGAAAGGGGGAAATGGGCCTGCTTTTCTAAGGCCAAGCGCCCGGGATGAAGCGGGACACCTCCCTCCCTACCCCAGAAGACAGACCCCATGCTGCTTCTCCAGGGCCCCGAGTCTCACACTGGGAGATGGGGTGGAGATGCTGGCGATGGCTGATCGGGAATACCTGTCACGCTGTAAACAACCCCCTGGCTTATTGGGTTCCTCCTTTCGCAATCTATTTCTAAATTGGAAGAGTTCGAGGCTAAAGATTCTGATTTCCTTTCACTCCACCTCAAAAATGAACTTCAACGCAAGAGGATGGGCCACTTGGTAAAATCCCAGGACAAACAGTTCGGGCAGCAAACACACTTCGTCTTTATTCTAATGCACGTGGTTCTGTGAGAACTCCAAACGTCAGTCTCCCTGGGGGGAGAGGAGGAAGAAGGGGAGGGCCTGAGTGTGCTGATTTGGGGCCAACAAACTCCTTATGAATAGAAATGTTGGTAATCTTGAGTCATCTGACTGTGTAAGAAATAAGAACTTGTGAGGGTGTGACAATGCTGTTTGGTTTAAGGGAAGTTTTGGGGAGTTTCGTGAGAAGGTTTTGTCTTAAAACAAAAACTAGCCCCCTGCCTTCCTTAAATTGTGAGGTAGAACACTGATTTGTTCTGCCCTGCACTGAATACATTACAGGGTCTTGATAGATTGCCACTGATAAAAGGCAGGAAGCCAAGCCAAGTGCTAAGGAAAGGAGAGCCAGAATTCGTGAGCGAAGTCAGTGTGTGTTAAAACACAAGGATGTTGGATCCTGGCCACTGTATCTAGATAATTACAGACCACACCAAGTGTGGCCCAGTGCAGGAAAAAATTTTTGAAGTTTTACCACTTCCTCGGATTAAGAAGGGAGAAAGTTCTTAACACTTATGAATGAAAAAGAAACAGGCAAGCAATCAAAATGAGGTGAAGAAATGGTCACTACTTTAATAAACTTTACAATAAGTCTATAGCTATGAATTGTTCACTCTGACAAGGGCTGTTTCTAATACAATATATAGGTTCAGTGGTATTATGTATAAATAAGAGTAAATATGTCTTTTACTTCCAGTATTTTTGACTTTAAAATATATAGTCAACTTTTGCTTAAATTACCATCTATGCACACAAAGCTATAGTATACAGCCATTTTAAAAATATAAAATAGATCCACATATACTGATAGCAAAGTATGTCTAGGATAAGTGGAGAAGAACACATTTAACATAAAATCACTTGTGGTAATATATACATATATTCACATTGTATATATAGAAACTTTCTGGGGGGAAGGACATGGACACACACACACACACACACACACATGTTTGTACCTAGAAAATAATTTTGCCTTTGCACCTATACCTGTAAATATAGTCTGAGTGTCTAACAGCCAAAGAATGTATTGCTTTTATATAATAAAAATGCTAATTTAAATGTAAGATTTCTTCCTTTTTTCAACCTGACCCCCAAACCTCACTTCTCACAACTCCAAAAAGAAGAGAGAGGGGAAAAAAAAGTGTAACTGGCAAGAGTTTAGTCACAGGCCAGAAAACACTTCATAAATATAATAGCTTACTTTTTCATTACATATTTATCTGCTTCCTTTCTTGAGTATATATTAAAAGTTGCAAATTTTGCAAGAAACTACAACGCAAAGCAGAAAATTAACTGTGCTTTTAAGATATGTAATCTGGTACTTAAGTATTCAACACTTGATATACTTACTTGTTTTACACTTGCATTCATGTTAGACTGTAAGTCTCTTGAAGTCAGGGACCCTAACATGGGAAAAGCAGTGTCTACTTTGTAGAGGACACAAATGTTTAGCAGGTGAATGCAGAATGGATCGCTATCACTGAGAAGTGATATGTTGCTTGGGGACACAAAGATGACGCTCCAGCATTTGCGTGGCATATGTGCTTTCAGTGGGAAGATCGGCCTGTGCCAGTTCTCTGGATTTACTTCTGATTCAGAAGGTTATCATTTTGGATGGCCTGAATTAAAGGTGCAGTACTGCCTATCTATGAACAAAAAAGCTTATCTAGGGACAGAACCCACTATGAGTTTCCCTGAACCAGATTCTTCAAGTCAAATATGCAAGTATTCAACAGTGATACTCACCAGACACTATGTTGGAAATGAACTATACAACTTGGGGGGAATGGGTCCAGGAGGGGAAAAAAACAGGAGAAAATGAGGGAGGGGGTGACACTGATCAAAAAGAAATGTACTCATTACTTACATACCTGTAACCCCTCTGTACTTCACCTTGGCAATAAAAAAGAAATAGAGTATATGGCTTGGAATAGTAGTACCAAGGATTTAGGAGTTTAGTGCCTACTAAGTGCTATGAAAGCTAAACCAGTGATTTACCAACTTCCTTACTGATAAAAAGAAGAGTTTGAACTAGATAACCTCTAACGTCACTTGTAGCTGCAACTATCTGTTTCTAAAATTTTGATATTCCCTCTTACATACTAAAGGTAGATACCTAGATCAATGGAGAGTAAATCATATAAAAATAGGATAAAGACCCATTGACAAAAATTCTATGAAATCTAAGATACATTATTTTAGCCATATTAGACAAATTATACTTTGCTATAAAATATAATGTAATATATTATTTCATATAAGAAAAATAGTAGGCTACTATGACAACAGTAGATATTAAGGAAAATAATGCTAATCTAACTACATAAAATATAGAGGATAGAATCAAAATTCAAATACCAACAGAAGCAGCCTCACTGACCTGAAACAGTATGAAAAGATGTTATCAGAGAAAAGAAATCCATGTGAAAAGGATGCTAAAGATGTGGATAATAGAGATGGAAAATGAAGTTGACAAAAGAAAATACGTTTATTAATATAAAGTTTTTTTAATTTTAATTTTAATTTTTTGTGAACATACTGTAGAAAGTTTTATAATTCAAAGTGTACATAAAGATTGACTTCCAATCAGTGTAATTTTTATTGCAGTGATAGAAATTTACATAAGGAAATCACCTCTTAGTACTCTTAAAAATTCACTCTCACCCCCAAAGACTGAAGTAACACACAATTTAAGTGGTTTATACCACTTTTTCCAGTGAGTCATCAGTGCAAATGGATCATGGAATCCAAAACTTTTGTCACTGTCTCTTATATTACAACTGTTGAAATCTTTATTTTATTTTATTTTATTTTTGCAAAAGAGTAATTGGAATCAGAGAGGGAGGGACATACGGTATTGCAGGAACTAGCGTGTTTACATAGTTCAGATCCTTTCACTTTTGCAGACCCAGTTCTCGGCTGACACAAACCTCCAGAAATTCCAAGACCAATATTACCTAATTATTTTATGTGTAACCCTATATTTCTCATCATACATTTGAGGAGTCCTAGAGATCTAAATAAGTTTATTTACTTTCAAATGGTTGTAGGAACAAACTTCCAGACAATGTCACACATAAATTGGTTTTGAAGACAAAAAAACTACCAAGACCAAAGTATATACTTAAAAACTTGTAAATTCCCTTCTCCTAGTAAACCATGCTTAAAGATTATAATGGCATATTATTCCTAGTTTTCACTGTTACATAATTTATACTTAAGAAATTTATATGGAAAATATCTGTCACAATTCTAAGATACAATTTACTTAATAATACCCTTTGGTATTGTTTTATATGTTGTACAAACATGTCATTAACTAAAGTTAATGTCATTAACTGTCATCTATGAATGTCAATATTATAGTTTATCATGAGCATCAGTCAGAACTAAACTTCAGAAGCCAGTTCTATGTAACTGAGCTTCAGACATAGATGTGAAAGTGGTCAGGACATATTACTTTATAGAACTAAAACCTTATGTTTTTTGGTCAGTCCAGGCAAGTCATGTTAGGAGCAATTGAAAAATATAGCTTTCTTATAAAAAAAATATCCTTACTCTTTCCTTCCATGATCCTTAATAGTTCATCTGTATTCATGGTCTATTCTCAAGTACTTATGCCATAAAAATTATCTACAGAAAGATAGTATCATAGTACATTCCCTACCCAAAATGACAATTATAATTTTTAAATGAAACCCAAAGAATTTATACTTTTATAACAGGCTATGAACTGATGAGTTCATTTTTATCTTAACCCATGCTACTCCAGGATACATGACCATAATCCCTATTACACATGGATATTGGTAAAATGCCCAATATATCCAAAATTATCACACAGGTTCCAATTTTAAATGGGGACATACTTTATGAAAAAACATAGGGTTGCCGGGTACCAGAGGCTCACACCTGTAATCCCAGCTACTCAGGAGGCTTGAGATCTGAGGATCACAGTTCAAAGCCAGCCAGGGCAAGAAAGTCCATAAGACTCTAATCTCCAATTAACCACCAGAAAACCAGAAGTGGCGCTGTAGCTCAAGTGGTAGAGCACTAGCCTTGAGCTGAAGAGCTGAAGGACAGCACCAAGGCCCAGAGTTCAAGACCTACAACTAACCAGTAGTGAGTTTGAACTAAGAGCCTCATGGTTACTAGACAGTGCCCTACTGCTGAGCTATTCCTCCAGCCCATTCCTGTACTAGTTATTTTTGAGGTAGGGTCTTGATTCCCACCATAGCATGTGCTGGAACATGGGCCTCCTCTTTTCACCTCTCATCATATCTAAGATGACAAGTGTGTGCCAACCACACAACCCAAACAGATTAATGCATAAAGTATGATAGCACTTCCTACAATGTGCTTGACCCTTGAGGACATGACGCCTAGTGTGATAGCAAAAGACAAATAGTGCTCATACATATGTGGTATGATTACACTTATGCAAGGTACTTACAGTGATCAAAGGCATGGAGGCAGACGGAACTGTGATGGCCAGGAGCCAGGAGGAAGTTATTAGTCAATGGATATAGAGTTTTAATTCTGCAAGACAAAAAGAATTATAAATTCGAATGATAGCAAGGGTTGTACAAAATTATGGATGTTTAATAGTATTAAATTCAACATGTAAAAATGGTTAAGATGGTAAATGTTATGCGTTTTATTTGACACAGTGAAGCCTGGGGGAAGAGAGTGGAGAATAGACTAATTGTCCTAGTGACCAAGGGAAGAGGAAAAGTAAAGAGTAGAAAAATGTATTCAATGTGGGAATCAGAAAAGAGAATTTTCAGAGAGCACAGTATTGTCGAGAAAGGTAACTGAAATAGGCATGGG